TTGTATATCTCCCTGAAAAGCTCACTCCATTTCTGTTCTGTCCTTCATATATATGTGAATAACATGATTGATAGAATTACAATGCATGATAGTAGAAAGCCATGATTAGAGATAACATGATTAGATAATCAGACTTAACAGAGACATGATTGTTGGTAATTTGACATGATACAGCATTATTGAAGGTTTAACAGAGGAGGAGCCTAGTTTTCTCTCAACGTTTCGCGCTTAGGGGCGCTTCTTCAGGAGAGGGAGGTTGTCATTCAAATGTGCAGCCCGGGGTGACTGTGCAGCATGCTGGGCTCCAAAGTGAGAGGAGGACAGACACCCCTCGGTTCTGGTCGGGGAAATAAGCAGTTCCAGGACTTTTGGCTACCCTCGATGCCTCTCAGTTTATGCTGCTCCGGGTGGGATTCGTGGTCCGTGTCTCTCTCCCCTAATCTGCTTCTGTGACTGTGACCCAGGTGCTGTGCCTGGACGGCCCTGCAGAGATTCACACACACTGACCCATTTAAATTACAACCTCCCTCTCCTGAATAAGCACCCCCTAAGCTCGAAACGTTGAGAGAAAACTAGGCTCCTCCTCTGTTAAACCATCAATAACGCTGTATCATGTCAAATTACCAACAATCATGTCTCTGTTAAGTCTGATTATCTAATCATGTTAATTATGTCTAATCATGGCTTTCTACTATCATGCATTATAATTCTATCAATCATGTTATTCACATGAAGGACAGAAGAGAAATGGAGTGAGCTTTTCAGGGACATACAATCATGTAATTTTTTACAAAATCAATTCAATCATTTTATTAATTTTGTAGCAAAAAACAGAAAGCTGGGGTTTTGTGGGCAACCGACTGACAACTTTCAGACCAAACGTTTTTTAGAAAAAATATAAGTTTATTTGATATAATTAATTTAAAAAAGGTGAAAATAATTTCATAAAATTGACAACATGATTTCCCTATAGGCTCACTCCACAATTATTTAGTTCTTCATACACAAGATTATGCTCAGAAAATTATAAGATAAAACATGATTGGTTAACATGGTAGACAAAAAATGATTTTTAGACAAAAGACATGATTGGCATGACAGAATAATATTGGAGGAGCTTGGTTTTCTCAACGTGATGTTTCGCGCTGAATGGCGCTTCTTCAGGAAAAGGAGAGGGAGGTTGTCTATACAATTTAAAAAGAATATGGATATATATATATAAACATCATTTGACTTATAACACAGCCACTTACACTCATCTAGTGGT